GCCCTTAATGAAACCCCTGCAAGATTTGGAACAAGCTGATGACAAAGTCTCCATTGGCTTTGCTTTTCTTTTTGATAGGCTGAGTATACGTAGCTGAAGCAAGTATTTTGTACCAACTGCAGAGCACAGTAAAGCAAAACCCAAGTTGTTCTCAGTAACTTTACGCTCTCAACTGAAAACTGCTTCAACTCAACTAGCCAACCAACAAAAAGCACTTTAATTTACAATTTGCATAAAAAACACACTGCCAATATAATGTTATAATGATGAGGTTTGTAAAGACACAGCTTTGCTATGCAGCTCCATCTGTTTTGCACTTGACCTTCATAACCGGTGGGGGGGAGGGGGAGAACTCCCATGTAAAAAGGATGGGGGTGCTTGTCGGAAAGTTTGAAAAGAACCCCTCAGAGGAACCAAGATCCTGTTTTGTGGGTTTTCCTTGAAATTTTTTCACTCCTAAGAGGTACCAATTCTAAAAGAACACATAATCTCCAGTCATATTTTTTCAGCTCAAAACCCTAAAAGGTACTGCAAAAGCTTCCGCTGTGGACCTTTTGAGACTTAATACTCTAAGAGTTACCAAAACTGGTTTTTTTAACTCCTAAAAGGTATGACAAGTGCCCCCATCCTTTTCATATGGGAGGCCCCCTTCCCCCCTGGCTCCGTAGAGTTAATTCCCATTTGATAGTTAGGCCTGATCCCACCTTATTTTTCCTTCAGTGTCGAGAGCTTTCCCCAATTTTAGTTCATTTGATTGAAAAAGTGTTAGCAACAACGGCCTATCCAAGATTTCCCTGAGAAGCGAAACTCCCACCCCCTCCTCACAAGGAAAAATATGGTCCACCAGCATGAGTTGCCCCACCCCCAGGAAATTGACAACTATAGACTTCTTGCGCGATAAAATAAATAGATAAATAACCTACTTTATTTAGAAGTATTTTCCTATGACTTATTCAGTTAAGTTAACTTTTACAGAGAATCCTGATGTTACTTGTGAGTCAATTTTAGTTTATAAAGCTTAATTTCAAATGTCTGAATTCACGGATGGCTCGAAAGCAATTCAATTCATCAGCTTGCTTTAAATTCTTTTGGTGTAAATTTCACTTTTTAACCTAAAATATCATTGATTTTCGTAAATAAAAACATAAGTAAAGCGTTAATAATCATTATCAATGAAGACTCCGTCGTACGTTTAAGCCAACCTGCTGTTATGGTTTGCACAAGTTATGCGAAGGAAAACTCGAGCAACACTTTGAAACCTACCTCCTTTTTGGGAATCTTTGGAGCAGCATTCCGGTACTTGGAAGTCCGAAAGCGATTCATCTTAACACAATAGCCAAATAGTCATTCAAACAATGTTGACATCTACAAGAAACTACAATACGAGCAAAAATCCCGTGAAATCTCCGACTTCCTCCACCAATGCTAACCCGCAAAGTCTCATGGGACTATGTTAAATTTCGCGCCCCTGGAAGCAACTCTGAAGAACTCTTAATGGTGGACAATGGGGAGGTTTTCAATATATTGACTGTGGTACAACCAGAATCATAGTCATTAACTAGTTACTTTCGACACTCTATTGAAAACCGTTCTAAAAGACAAAAACAGCCAAGGAAATTGTAATAGAAAATGTTTTTGGTTTCCATTCCTTATTCCTTTTGACTGTGCAGAATGTGATGTTCCCAACACTCATGTGAGAAAAGAGAGATTGAACCCGAACCCGAAAGGAAGAAAAGTGGGAAAAAAAAACAAGAATGTGCTCAAAACTTTTGCTCCTGTTTCCTGACACTATTGCATGGTTGTGCCACAGCTTATTTTCTTCATCCAGTTAGCATGCGTTTTATTTTTATTCTCCGTGATTGGTTATCAGCAGGCCAGACCCTATGTTCTGATGGACTGTTTATCTGTCATGCACAGCTGTTTGACATAAATACTTCAATGGTTTCCTTTTCACACGATCTTTTATCCACAAAAATGTTAAACTTTTCAGAGCAACTTTTTCCAAAACTTTGTTTAGTTTTGATTATCAACCAGGAGAGGGGTGCTCTACCTAATTTTACATGGGGAGGCTCCCCCCTAGAGGTTTAACCCCTTATTACTCTGTGGACCATTTTGACAGAAAAGCTACCCCTCTTATATACCTTTTTTGAATCAATTAACAGTCCTTCTAAAAATATACCAAAATATTTCACTACCCTCTCAAAAACCTCAACTTGTGAGATCCCTACCCTGTTATATCCCTGGAGTCTGAAAAAGGCATAGACCCTTGGTATAGGCCATCATAGGGAGCACCCCCTTCCTGGATTACCATTTACTTTTGGCTCAAGGGGAGGCTGTTTTTGGAGAAGGGGTGCTTTCAAGAGCGCTAACAATAGAGGCTCTTGTAAACGTAATACTGTTCGCTTCATTAATCCACATTTCACAAGGACAAAAATCAAAGTAGAAAAAATCCAGTCCATTCACAGGTCACATAACACCTTTCAACCTAGCCATTACCAGTGAGAATTTCTCAAATGCACCTGCCTGCCCATACGCTACCTATAATATAACCTAGTCCAAGAGGTTTCCTTCTTCTTTTTGCTACTGACATTGGGAAAGAGATTGGAGGTTGTGCCACAAGGTGCAACAAAAAGCCCTAGCCATTACAAGGCAGCTATTTACTAGCCCCCATATCCAATATTTCTCATGCCCTCAACTCAACAATCTTCGACAAAATTAAAGTCCAGACAACAGACTAAGTTCCTGATTAATGTTCGTTTTACTGTTCAATGTCAAATTCAAAACATGAATTTTCTCTACTGATTGCTATATATCTCTTTCAAAGTCAGTTTTGAGAATTGGATGTAACATCTCTTAGCAAGGCCACCTAACAAAAAGTAACCTTCACAGGCAATATCCATGAGTTGATGGTAATATTTCACTCTCGTCAAATGTCTCACAAATATATTAATAGTACTATTGAAAGGCAAAAGACAATGTTTACCATTCCCAAGCGGGAGAGCAAAATACATTTTCGCTATTTTTGGAATAATTTACATTTGATGTTATAATATAACCCTTCAAAGGAAGGAATCTTGAGGTGCTGAATGGAGCTCTTCGTAGTTATTAAACTCGCTTTCTTCCTCGGCCAGTGGCAGGAGCTGAGGCATGGGAATGTTTGGAATATTTAGTTGCATGGAGGCAAGGCTTTGTGGAGACAGTGGATTGAGAGTTGGCGAGACAAGCGAGCTCCGTTGTTCAGGAGAACTTTCCTTGATAATGGCTGGTGTTCCCTTCGTTGAGGAAGATGATGCAGTGGTTTTCTGCTTTGGAGTTTTAGTCCTTGGTTTCTTTGCGGGTGGTTCTTTAGGGACTTTATCTGATGTGTACTTTTTCATTTCTTTTTCATATCTTTCCTTGTCTTTTTCATACATTTCATAATAAACCTGCAACATCAACAAAGTCAACATTCAAGATTATTTTAAATGCATGACTGAATAGAAATTCATCATGTGCAATCATTGCACACCTCTGTCCACAATATATTTCTTAGAACTCTGCTACAACTCTCCAAACACTGGTAGAAAACCTACCACCTCCTCTCCTATATGGTGGTTTCAATGTAATCACTACGATCACTGCAATCCCTAAGATTGCTGAAAAGAAAGTTTAGCAACCTTTGAGACAGTATAGAAGCACCCTTTTGCAATCCTAGCGCAAATAACATTTCAACCATCATTGTGATCAGTTTGACACCACTCTCCAGAGATTGTATTGATTGTTGCACTGATTAATATACCCAAACACACAGAACCATAGACTACTCCATGTCCTCTTTGGCATATTTTAATTCTCTGGTGACGGTGTTGATCGTATAGAAACTGGTCAGCAAGTGAAGCTGCATGGATTGTTCGTCTTCTTTTGTAGCAGTTACAGTAACTGCAGCAATACAACCCAGCCTAACTGAACACTCAGTTGTAATCCTAGTCACACACAGACACTTCACTTCAAATCTGCCACATTAAAAATGGACACCTACCGGTATCTCAAGTAAACATCGGCAGTTTCAAGGCTAAGAGGGTGTCTCCATAAGAGGTTCAACAAGATTCAACAGCTCTGACTTTTGATAATTCATTCTACAACATTCTGACACTTACACAGGAAAAAACAGCATTAGAGCTGTCCCCTCATGGCATCAACAACTCTACGTACCTTCTTGTCATCTGTAGCTAGATTATTCCACTCTTTCGCCAGTGACTTAGTTAATTCGTGATGTCCAATGTTAGGATCCTTTTGATCATCCTGCATGACAGTTCGTTGTTGCTGGCAATACATAAAGAATGCATTTGCTGGTTTCTTGGGTGCGTTGGGATCTTTATCCTTGTCCTTGTCCTTTGGTGCATCACGTTTCTTATTCTTTTTTGCTGGCGGTGAGTCTGGACTCATGAACTCACACGGGAAGAAGGAAGGAGGTGCTGTTTTGGGAAATGCTTCAGAAACTATTTCTGAGAGAAGTTCAGCCTGGCAAGATAAGAAAATTATGAATATGCCAAGTTTAAGGGACAAGTGCCAAGGAAACAAAAAAAAATTGCTGAATCATTGTTGATTTTCCACTGAACAGAAAATGATTTTCACTGATCACAATGACACTGATTCAAAGAAAAAAAAACTCAATTTATGTTCTAGATTTCCTGAACCTTACCTGAAAAGGTGGCTGTGCATCTCTATAGTCATCATTGTAATCATCTAATCTGTCCTTGAGGAAGCTGGTGAAGAGAAAACAGAATTGAAAATTAACTCTTCAATCTTAAAAGAACTTGAGTATGTATTCTCTTCATCTGTATGTGTCGACACACATAGGGGAACAAGTTTCCAGGTCTAGTCCCCATGACAAGTCCCTTGAAGGGTTTACATGAGGGGACTGGTTGCAAGGGCTAATTCGTTGTACCATTCACACACCGATATTAACTGCACAGTAACATAGTAAAAACTTGGGGGCAAAAGTTTACATTTCTTTCACCCTGCCACTTTCCCTATGTAAAACTGATATAAGCCTAATAAGCCTAAATTAACAATGTAGCATTGAAATAAATCGTAGCATTGAAATAAATCATTGCAATGAAAAGAAAATGTAGATTGTTTACCTAAATTATCCAGTGCCTCTTTTTTGCGATTTCCAATGACAGAGTTGCCAATATTTTTTGTTGAAAAATTACATCAAAATTCTCGCGTAGAAACACACCATACTGCTTCTTTGACATCAACGCCGTATTCCCAAGCCAAATGGTAAGGCACCATATCAAACAGCTCGTAAGTAGTTATGGGAGTCTTTCATGTGGATCTGTTGTTGGTTTATTTTAATTTTGTCACAAAAAGTTCACATGAAGGGTTTTAAGGAACAACTCGCAGCCACTTTTAAACTACTGGTCCCTTGAGAAACAGTTAGTTCTAATTCTTCCCAACTTCTTCTCTGGAAACATCAAGATATTCAAAAAGACAAAAGAAACAACTGCCTCCTCGGACCTGTAAGCTTAATTATCGACCTTCTTGTATATCTTGTAGATAAGCTTATATTCTTACCTTCGCTGCTTTCGGTAACGTTTTAAGAGAGTTTTGACATGGTAAATGCGATTGACAAATCTTTCATTTTCCTGCAAGTCCAAACAAACAGGCATTAAACTATAAATTCTTAGCCTTCGTTGCAGCCGGACGTGTCAAAAAGTCCTCGGTATAGTATATATACCGGCCGTTTAGACTGCCTGCGACACAGGCTATAAATTCTCACCTCGCAGAAAATAACTTAATAAACTAACAGCTTCCTTTTCTGGTGTGTTTTACGCGAACAATTACATCGTTAGGAAACAGTGAGAAATTTTCTGTGTAGTTCTCTAGGTAATACATCACCTGCTCGATCTGCCTGCAGTGTTTAAGCAAAGTAAAGTACTTTTCTTTCCACAGAGTTTCGTGATTTGAAGACACATTAGGAAAGTGTTGCTCGCTTTCGTCCGCCATATTGTTTCCATCCCTACCGACAGCCTTTGCGCTATTTGGATGAGTTTGGCGGGGAGGGCAGATGGGGCCTGGGCGGGAGTGATGGGGGAGGGAAGTATTTCTTTTCGATTCCGGCCACGCACTTCATTTTTTGGGTTTCTTCTCTCGTTCTTTTATGGTGTTTCTTCGGAGTAATATTTTTGATAATTACCCAATACTCTCTTTTAACTGTTTTCTTTCAATCAATATTTTGAAAAAGCAATTCGCTGAGACAAGAGAACACTAATTCGTGAACTTGGGAACACCTTCAATCCTGGCCTTCAACACCCAAAATATGGGAGCAGGCAGTGGATCAAAAAATATTTTGTTTACTTTTCCAAAATAAAGGCAAAAGCAACATTTAATGGGCTCTTTGGGCTCCAGTTTTCTATGAGCGAATAGTAATAGGGCTGAATTAAACGCGTTGTTTTTATACCTACTTGCACCTTTGGCCCGGGGGTGGAGGGACTCGCATATGAAAAGGCCGGGGAGGCGCATCGGAAAATTTGAATTAAACCCCTAACGGAGACCAAACTGGGACGGGGCTCGGGCTCAATCACCAGCAACTGTTCAGGTGAGAGAGACCGCGCTGGAAGACCGGACTCGAGAGACTAGCGGAAATCGAGCCTAAAAACGGAAATAAGAACGTTTGGTTATCATTCATTCGAGTGCACCCCAAAAGACACTTTGGCAGCTCAAAATAGCATGAATACCCTAATTTAGACCAGAATCCTTGATTTATACCCCTTAGTCTCTCTCCTCTTCAGAGGCCTCTTTCGTGCTGCCTTGACCGTAGGTTGGTAGTTCGGAGGCTGGAGAGAGGGAAAAACGGAAGAGCGCGGGGAACGCCCCCCGTCCTCCACGCGCCTTCCACACCCAATATTCAATTTCACACAGGTAGCCTCTGCGGAGGAGAGAGCCCCTAAATGGGACAACGAGCATTCCCGACCTTTTCAACTGGGAGTCCCCTCCCGGGCCTTTTGGTACGCTTCGGCGGCATATCAGGCGAATTTGGTCGACCCGTGGTTCGTATTTTGGTGAGACGCTGTCGAGCCGGCCCTGTCGAAACAAAATACAATGGTGGGTAAGAAAGTTAATCCACTATAGGCCTTATTTCCGGAAAACTCAAAAGGTGCAAGGATTAGCTAATCCTGTGACGCCGAATTCAGGCAAAATGTGAGAATGTCGCTTATTTCGAGGGTCTTTTAATTAATTCTGCCGCGTTCTGCCTGTTCCGCAATCTCAATCCCAGGTTCCCTTGCCTCAAGGGAAGCAAAGGCGAGAGAGCTTGGGATCGAGGTTGCTTGTTTCGAATTCGGCTCACGTAGTGCGCGCGAAGTAGCTACCTCCCAAAGACCACATCCTCTCAGGACAGAAGGAATGAAAAACAGGAAAGAGAATTGAGATGCTGCTCATATGGCACAAAAGAAAGGAAGTTTATTAAACTTTTTTTAGCAATTTATTCATATCATATCTATTATAAATAAAGGCTATAAATCAATATATCATATACGTTCTATTTCAGCTGTTACAAAACGTTTTGTAATATAACATATGCTCTGATTGGTTGTTCCGTCGTTTTCCATAGGACTATATGTAAACACGGTGTTCCTCCATTTTGTTGGATTCATCCTCTTGTTAACAAAACAGAAAACGAACGCTTCCACTTTAAAAGCACTTTTGATGCAAACACTCAACAAGTATGCGAAAAAGTTTACAGTAAAGCTCTGACTGCAGCATGGGTTTTAAAGAATTTTCGATTTCTCTCAAACTATCTCGTATATGAACTGACGTAAACAAGCGGGCCACTTTTTTCAATACTTTCTAATTAAAAAACTGTTATATAATCTATTCAAGCCAAATGCTTTTCTTTTAAATACATTTTTTGAAAAACTCAACTTAAAGTGGTCTTTTGTGGCTATTTTAGTTTTAGTAAAAGCTTTTAAAAAATGTCTCAAAGTTCTGCAACCAGGTGAGTAACTCAAAACCCGCCAACTGCAGACGTCTTACTGGCAAAGTTTGAAGTTTCCTTTCTAAACTATGAGATTTTGACAAAGAGCTGAATAAAAAAATCAGCTGACAACTAAAAACAGTACGCAAACAGTCTCGCAAAATTAGACGCTTTCCGATCCCTGTGAATTTGCTGGAGTAGCTGCCGTCCGCTAAAACACAAGGCTAAACTAGTAGGCGAACAGATGCAAACAAACATCATGTTTCAGCTAATTCAACTATCTTCCTTATCCACGCCAGTAGGACCATCACCAAAAGAGAGAACAGGGTTATCATAAGCATGCCTCGATTCTTCCTGGGGACTCTCATTATCCAGTAAAAGCTGCCGACTTCCGAACGATCCAGAAGACTTGGGGATATCTTCGCTGGGTTCGGCGACCGTTATTCCTTTCACTGAGAGCTTTGGGAGGTTCTTCCACTCCGGCATACCCATAGCGCCTACATTAAACTTTTCTTCTTTCGCATCACTGCGGTTTGATGCCGCAACACGGCCGCCGGTGGAAGCTACATCGTATGGATAAGCCCCTGCCTCTGCTTGAAACTCATCGTCCGCATTAGGGTCAGGGGCTGCGGCATCCTGTTCCACAGGCTCACCATAGTAGTTCACCCTGGAATACTGACTGCTCGCGCGAGGAACACCTTGAAATCGTCTTAGTTCATAATTTGCGTCACTGGGGAGGAAGAAGCTGCCCTCGCGCCGATCCCGACGGCATCGCGCAACCAACACAATGAAGCCCACGATGAAGATGAGCGCCATAAGAGCACCAAACGTTATGTAAAGGATAAAAGCGATTTCACTCTTCTTACCTTCTGTGGTGGGAGCCAGTGTAGATGGTGTAGTTGGTCGTACAACTTCTAGTTTACTTGCTCTGAACGTTTTGTTATCAACAGTTACACTGATATTCCCGTTGTCGACTAGTTTCTTCAACACCTGTGAAACATTTGCCTTTCCACTCGTTCCACTGATTGTAAAAGTGACTCTTATTGAGCCGCAGACAATATCATTGACGGCGATAGCCTCTTCCGGGATACCCAGTTTTTCAGCCACTTCACGAACGAACTCTTGTTCAAATTTCTTTTCCGTCTCCTTATTACCCACGACGTCTCCACAATTTCCTTCAAACTCGATGACAATGGTTTCATTTTCATAAACAGGTGGTTTTTCAGTAACCACCGCGGGCGACGATGAAGGAAGTGGTTCTCTTTTTGTGGAGGTAGGCAAAATAACGGCAGACGTAGACAATCTTGTTGATCCTGATGTCAAAGAACTTGATAAAACTCTTAGAGGGGTAGAACTTGTTTCCGCAGGAGTTAATGGGGTACTGATTACAGGTAACGACGAGGAAACGATTGGTTGTAAAGTGGTTGCAACTGGACTCTTTTGGCCCGAAGTCGAAGACGGCCCCAAAGTTTCTGAAGGTAGAGAACTGGAAAACGGAGAGATTAAAGAAGATGGCAAACTTGCAACTGAAGATGACGGCTTGATAGGTACAATCAATGTTGTTGCTTGTGTTTTGGTAAATGAGCTAACAACCATGGAACTTGACCTGGATTCGCTTTCAGTAGGTCTTACTGCAACAGAACTAAACATAGAAGGGCTAACTGGCAGAGATGCAGTTGGAGCTGTTACTTTAGTAGTCACCGGAACCGACGTAGATTGGCCAACCGGAGAAGAAACAACTGGCACCGTTGTAGCACTAGAACTTGGAGCTACTGCCTGCGAAGTCAAGGAGTTCGACACAGTTCGGCCAACAGCAGGACTTGAACTTAGCCTTGAACTAGGAAGTGGCAACTTGGTCTTCATGGAACTCGACACGGATTGGCTAACAGCAGGACTTGAACTTGGAATTGGCACCTTGATCGTCGTGGAACTCGACACGGATTGGCTAACAGCTAAACTTGAACTTGGAATTGGCACCTTGATCGTCATGGAACTCGACATGGATTGGCTAACAGCTAAACTTGAACTTGGAATTGGCACCTTGATCGTCATGGAACTCGACATGGATTGGCTAACAGCTAAACTTGAACTAGGAATTAACACCTTGGTCGTCATGGAACTCGACACGGATTGG